GCACCGTGAAGTTCTTGATGTATCGGGCGTGTCGTGAATGTGCCAAGAAAGCGACGCCTCTTGTCGGATGTTCATGCCCAGCAGCTGCGAATACATGTCCACCAAGACCGGTAATCCGCAGCTCTTGCTTCGTAGTCCGCCATGTTTCGTTGAGCGCCAGAGCGTCCCAGTGGGTATCTGTAAGCTCACATATCAGTAAATCGATCGCCGCGTCTTTGGTGAGGTTCCGGGCGTTTTTGTGGATTATCGTCGCTGCTTCATCGATGCGGGTTTCCAGGAAGGCGGTAGTTTCTTCTGTTTGGTCGTCAGCGTTTGCATGCACCGTCCTTGATGTAGGTGTCGTCGCGTCGTGCTGCATGGTTGTGACCTGTCGCTGTCGTGGAGGGTGTCGAGGCTGAAAACATGTAGGTAGGTCGCCCTCGGTATTGCTGTATCGCCCTCGCCCCCCGCCAGGTGCTGCGTTGGAGCTGCTGCTCCTGCTGGGGGTCGGAGTCGATAGCTGGTGGTGGGCGCTCGGAGACGGAGGGTCGAAGCTGGACGTTGGTCAGGTGTGGTTGAGGGTCGATAGGTGGAGGTCGAAAGCTACAGGTGGAGTGGTGGAGGTCTATAGTTGGTTTTGGACGCTGAGAGTCATAAGAAGGGGCCGGAGGTCGCATGGGTGAGGCTGAAGGTCGATGGGTGGAGGTCGAAGGCTGGAGGTGGAAGGTTGAAAGTCGATAGCTGGTAATGGACACTGTGAGTCAGAATCTGGGAGCTGGAGGTCAATTGGGTGAGGTTGGGGGTCGATGGGTAGAGGTTGAAAAGTGGGAGTCGAATAGTGGGAGTCGATAGCTGGTGGTGGGCGCTCTGGGCCGGAAGGTCGAAGCTGGAGGTCGGCCAGGTGGGGTTGAAACTCGGTAAGTGGAGGTCGAAAGTTGGAGGTCGAAGATTGTGGGACGATAGCTGGTGGTGGAATCGGAATCGGAATGTCGAAACTGGACGCTGGTCGGGTGGGGTTGAGGGTCGATAGGCTGAGGTCGAAAGCTGGAGGTGGAGTGGTGGAAGTCGATAGCTGGTAATGGACGTTGGGAGTCATAATGTGGAAGCTGGAGGTCGAAGGTTGGAATTCGACAGTTGGTAATGGACACTGTGAGTCAGAATCTGGGAGGTGGAGGTCAGTCTGGTGAGGTGGGGTGTGGAGGAGTCGAGGTGGAACTGGAAGTGGAAAGTCGGATCCTTGAGGCTTGAGGGCGGGGTGTTGGGCTGGCGGGAGCTGGAGGTCGAAAGCTGTGGGTGCAAATGTCGCCGGCGTCGGAGAGGCCAGAGTCGGAGAAACCAGAGCGGATGACGAAGGCGTGGATCCGCACATCACTGTAGAGGTACTGTGCCACTGCAAGTAGGATACCGCATTGTGCATGTTGGTGGCTTCGTTTCCAGAATCGGCACCGGAGTGAATCTCGAACTGCTTGCCGTCGTGGTAGCTTTGCCCACGTCCGTAGCCTTTCCAAGAACCGTAAAAATCTGTCGGAAATGCATGTGAATGAGGTTGGGGGTCTAAAGCCCACGGGCGGAAGTCGAAAGGTGGAGGTTGCGAGCTGGAAGGTGGAGGTTGGGAGTCAGAAGGTGGAGGTGGAAGTCGATGCTGGGAGGTGGAAGTCGATGCTGGGGGGTGGAGGTCGGGAGGTGGAAGTCGATGCTGGGAGGTGGAGGTTGGGAGGTCGAAAGGTCGAGGTTGGGAGCTGGGCGTGGGAGAGTCGATGTGTGTAGCTGGAAGCAGAGAGTTGCGTCGGATTACAACATATGAAGGTAGAGCAGGGTGTACATGTTCCGTAATGGTGGACAAGTCGGTAGCTTTGCCCGTAGTGTCCACGTCCCAAAATTTAGATTGCATACCGTTCGTTGGTGCGGCTCGGGCACTGTCTGAAATTGCTAGTGCCCGCCGTGCGTCCTAGGCGGATCCTTTGGACTGTCCTTTGGCGCTGCCTTTCAGGTTCTGTGAAGCACGCTGGGCAATCCCGTCACACGTCTTTGTCAACTCCAATAGCTTCTCGTTCGTGCGAAACTCCTCCCATTCCGTCCATGCTCCCGCAGTCCACTCACGGATGACCGTGCCCCCGTCGATCTTCACGCTGAGGGCTAATTCTCCGCCCGCTGTGACCGTGTATGGCTGTTCTGTGTCGTCAACCCGGATGGGGCGTGCGAGGCCCATGTTGTTCTTCAGCAGGTACTTGACGCCACACCAGTAGTTGCGTGCAGCTCGAACCAGTGGTGGACGATCGTTTGTAGCCCAGACCTCTTGTCCGTTCCTGTTGAGCTTTGCGCTTCGTAATTGGCCAACCGCAGCGTTTCTGTCGTCTATGCTACCAAACTCCATGAATACCATATTGTTGAATTCTCCGTTGTCGTAGATGTTGGTTGGCGCCGGCGCGCCTAGACGTAGTAGTTCTTGTTTGATCCAACTGCTTGCGGTTTCCAAGTTGTCGAGGTTCTCGAGGTTGCCGACCACGGTGGTGATGTCCCCCTTGTCTATGACGTGTTTTGTGCCGCTGGTTGCAGATGTTGTCAGACGCGTTGGAGTAGCTCTCTGTTCCTTCATCGCTTCGTTGTCCATCTCTAAGTGCATTATTTTGGCATTCGTAGTAGTCCACTGTCACTGCGGATTTTGCTGATGATGGCCGGGACGCTGTTTCCAATATCGACACACGGTTGGTAATGTCGTCGATGGACTCTTTGAGAGGCTTCACTGCGGTGTTAAGGTCCTCTCGCGAGACCCCATGTGTCTTGATGGCCGTGATGTCGTTGCGGATCGGTTCCAACTGCTCGTTCAGGATGGCTTTGAACGTCTCTGCAGTGAGGGCTGCTCCAGGAGCCACGTTGGTGTCCACGGTGTTGTTCTTACCTGCTTCATTCAGCCGCTGGTCGAACAGTGCCTGACGCGAGCTTGAGCCTTCTTGGTCGACCTTCAGCGGCGAGCTGCCAGTGCGGGCCACATTATCGGATGGTTTGAGCGCTGAGCGCAAGGACTCAGGAGAAGAGATCACATGTTTCTCCGGCATGCTAGTGAACGTAGTCGGGGTAAGTTTACGCAAAGGCAGGAAGAGGAGGAAGAGGAGGATGAGGAGGAAGATGAGGAGGAGGAGGAGTAGGAGGAGGAGGGGGAGGGGGGGGGGGGGAGGAGTAGGAGGGGAGGAGGAGGGGGAGTAGTAGTAGTAGTAGTAGTAGTAGTAGTAGTAGTAGTAGTAGTAGTAGTAGTAGTAGTAGTAGTTAGTAGTAGTAGTAGGAGGAGGAGGAGGAGGAGGAGGAGGAGGAGGGGGAGGAGGGGGAGGAGCCAAGTTAGGTGCCCTCGCGTCAACATCTGACATCCTACCCCTCCCTCCCATCCCTTACCATGGCGTTGATTTTCTCTATCCGCGGACGCGTGTCGTAGCGGACCTGTGGCTCCGCGCGCGTGTGCGTAGTGGGTGGTGGTGCGCGTGCGTGCGTGCGTGTGTGCGTGGTTGTGGTTGTTGTGGTGGTGGTGGTGTATATGTGTGTGTGTGTGCGTGTGTGCGCGTGTGCTGTGGTGTGACGTGGTGTGGCGTCTTGGTGGTTTGGTGGTGGGCCAGGTGCGTACGTGCGTGATGGCGGTGGTGGTGGTGGTGGCGGTGGTGGTGTGTGTGTGTGTGTCTGTGTGTGTGCGTGTGTGTGAGTGCGTGTGTATGTGTGTGTGTGTGTGTGCGTGCGTGCGTGCGTGCGTGCGTGCGTGCGTGTGTCTGTGTGTGCGCGCGTGTGATGTGGTGTGACGCGGTGTAGCGTGGTGGTGGTGGGTGGGGTAGTGCGGTGGTGGTGGCGGTGCGCGGTGGTGGTGCGCGTGCGTGCGTGCGTGCGTTGGTGGGTGGAAGTGGCGGTGGGTGTGCGTGCGGCGGGGCGGGGCGTGGTGCGGCGCGGTGGTGGCGGGCGGATGGGCGCGCGAGAAAGAGGCCCGCGCTGGGGCGAGAACGCCATCCTGAACGACGGAGGCAAAACACCGATCCGAAAATGAGGCCCACGCTGCAGCGGGAGCACGATTCGGAACGATTCGGGAGCAGAAATGAGGCCGGCGCCTCAGCGAGAGCAGCATGTTGAAAAAAAACGCAAGCGAAAACCCAACTCCCGGGAATCCTGTGTGTAAAAAACAATACGCGGGGGGGGGGGGTCGAATATTCCCAGCACGCCATCAGGGGAAGAGGGAGAGTAGTATTCATATTGAGTAAATGTCCAGGCGCCGCCCCCCAGGCGCCGCCCCCAGGCGCCGCCTCCCAGGCGCCGGCCCCCAGGCGCCGCCTGTCCCCTTCTGCTGTGGCCTCTCGCAGGCCTCCCCTTCTCGGCCTGCCCTCTGCCGGCGGGCACCGGCATGCGTCTCCCGCCGCAGCATTCGCCAGGGGGGAGACGGGTCCTGAGCTTTCTTTGTTGTCGTCTTCGGGCTCTCGGGGCCCTCCACGGGCCCCAGGACTCTCAGAAAACGACTCAGGATGAAGATCTCGTCCTGGGGGAAGGCCCTGTGGTCCATGACTCGTTTCCCTCAGGACCCGTTTCCCCCATGCTTACGCATCGCGCCACCCCTATGCGGGTCGCTCGCGTCTGCACGTGCCTGTCTCTCGTGGTGCACCCCTTGTTTCTCTGCATTGTCAACTGCCCGTTGGCCTACTCAGCGCACCCCGCCAATGCCCTCGCTGGGTTGGACAAGCCGGCCGCGAAGCAAAAGTGGGCGAGAGGGTTGATGAGGATGATCACGATGGTGATGAGGGGCTGCCGGAGCATCGGACGAGGGGTATGGTGAGTGAGGGGAAGATGCCCAGAGATTCGATGTTTTTTTTTGTTTTCAATAGGGGTCCCCAGATGGCTCGACCCATTCCCTGGGACCAGCTTTTCATCATGAGTCGTTTTTTGACAGTCCTGGGGCCTGGCGAGGGCCCCTGGAAGTCGAAAGTTGAAAAACCTCGGCCTTGATTTTTTCAGTGCGTTGGATCTCTGGGAAATTGGGGGGAGGAGGGAGAGATCTCCTTGATCTTGCCCAGCAGCGAGCCCCCCACCGCCGTGACCAGGATCGAGAATATGATCTGGAACCAGAAGTAGACGATCTGCAGCCGCTGCTGCGCCCACGCGTGGGCACCCATCAGGAAGCACCTCCCTCCCTCCCTCCGTCCTTCCCTCCCTCGCCCCTCGCCTCCGATCCCTTCCTCCGAACTCTCCTGCCTCTCCCTTCCTCCCCCCTCCCCTCCTCTGCCCTCCGGTGCCCGCCACCCGTCCCCCTACTCCTCTGCCCTCATCCCTCCCCTTCTATCACCTCCCCTCCCTCCCTCCCTCAATCCCTTTCCCTCTCTTCCCCTCGCTCGCTGCCTCCCACCACCTTTCCTCCCCTCCCTTCTCTTCCTCTCCCTCTCTCCCTTTCTCGTTCTCCTCCTCCTCTTCCTCCTCCAACTCTATTTTCGGGGGTTGCCAGAACCGTCCTTGGCCCAAGGTGCCACCAACTCTTCGCGCCACTCTGGGAGCCCTGTGGCCTTCTTGGCTTCGCCTCGTGAAGGGTGCTCTGGAGGCCGTCTGGGCTTTTTCTGGGCCTGGGGCCACCTTAGGCCAGGACCACTTCTGGCAACACCCTCCTTCTCTAGGACGAAGCCAGGACGAGGATAACATCGGGTGAGGAAACATCGAGAATCTCTGAGAGCCGGCGGCTTTGGAGGATGTCTCGTTTGCCACGGCCTTTTCAGAGCGTTCCAGAACGGCCTGAGAGCGTTCTGGAAAACTCTGGAATGGACTTACCCTCGTTCTATAAGACTCGTCAAACATACATTGACGGTTTTGTTTTCGGCGCCCGCGAGGTCGCCGCTACTTCAATGCTGGCATAAACGTTTGGCCCGCGCGCAGGGGTGCCCGAAGTCCGGCAGTTCCCTCACAACATTGAAGAACGCGTTTTCAGACATGTGCCCGAACTATCGGGGCGCTTCGATCCTGAACGGCGCCTCATTTTATTTGTGACGAGGCTTGTAGCCCCGTCCGATCCTCCTCCCCCCTCCCTCCCCGGAGCCGTGCACGATGCCAAGTCCCCTCCGGGAGCGGGCCCGCCCAAAGATTCTGAAGCGGACCCGGCCGTGGCGACGAGGGCCCCCCGAAGTCCCAGAGAAGGGGGCGGAGGAGGAGGAGGCTCTGCCAGAAGGAGGAGGAGGAGGGGGAGGAGGGGGAGGAGGAGGAGGAGGAGGAGGAGGAGGAGGAGGAGGAGGAGGAGGAGGAGGAGGAGGAGGAGGAGGAGAGGGAGAGGAGGAGGAGTAGGAGGAGGAGGAGCAGCAGGATTTAAGGTGGATGTGAAGCAAATCATCGTTTTTTCGTGACCATTGAAGCCCCTCAGCTTGTATACCAAAACTGTGCAGGGCCAAAGCGGAAATAATTGCAGTTCGTGCTCTTATCGGCCACGCGGCTGGGACAAAGACGTCCTGGGAGCGTCGCCCAAGTTCGGCCGCAAAATAAGCGTTACTATCTTCAATCTTTCATGCGCT